ATTTGATCGAAATCGGATAATCCTAACTATGTTAATTTCATCGTCGAAATAAAGCGAAAAAACGCTCAGAACTTTTTACTTCACCTAATATATGTACTAGGTAATTTTAATAAATAGAGATTACTTGTATTGTTGTTATAAGTTTTATTTAAAGGTATATAAATGTGTGCAAGTGAAATAGTTGTTAATTGTTCATTTTACGTTATGTGATGTTACATTTCGTGATTAAAATGATAAAATATCATTTTAATCACGTTATTTACATGTTATACAACTGATATTGCAGGGGCCCGATTCTTGATGAAGTGCGAATGAGATATGCATGCGAAAATCTACAATGTACGTAATGCAACTATACATTTTCGCATGCGTATCTCATTCGCATACCGTCAAGAATCGAATCCCAGATGGATACACGCGCACACATTTAATAGATCACGCACTCATTCACGCACTCACAAAAATATTCATCGCCGCCATTTTTCGGGCCAATGGCCAGTCTCTGTTTGAGGGTATCTACGCGATGACAGCCGTGCGCGACACGAAGCCGGCCGCAGCGCCAATCGCTATGGCGGAAAAGTGGCAATAATTAAATCTTACATGCCTTTTTTTAGAGAAGATAATGAAAAACAACAAAACTGCTTGCGATATTTTTTGCATATAGTGTACATCGAAATATCGCAAACAGTATCTACATTTGTGTTCTTATATTGTTCTTTATTGACAAATCACATATAAAAATATTACATATATAAATAAATTTATATAAAAATATAAAGAATAGGTTGCGCATATATGTGTACGTTTTACCATATTTCAATGAATGGGTTAGGTTAGAGTTAGTTTTTTAGGGAGAAGTTTGCGGGAGAAAGGCAGAGGCCCACGCATATATGTGTACTGTTTACCATATTTTCATATACACTGTATGCAAAAATTGCATTTTATTTATAAAAAAATGTTGTTAATAACTTTCTAATAGAGTTTGCTGTTTAAAACTTTTTTAATATTATTCAAGGATATGTCCTTGACAACATATGTCAAGGTCAAAGTCATTGGGGATTCTCTAAATTAAATAATTACCTTAAAAACATATCCTTGATAACATATGTCAAGATCAAAAAAGTTCTCTATTGAATATTTTTTATGAGAAATGTATAAGATGGGTTAGGTTAAATTATTTTTTAAGAAGAGATGCAGAACAAAAAGTAGAGGCCCTCCACAGCGCATATGTGTATATTATTGGGTGTACAACTTAATTCGGTCCGTTTTTTTGCTTGAAAAACGCATTTATTTGAATGATAAAATGAATTAATACATTATCGAAAGTATTGTCAATCGCTAGCCACTACTTTTTTCCATCTTTCTGGCAATTTATGGATTCCGTCGCGGAAGAAGCGTTCATCTTTTGAAGCCAAGAATGAATCGAGCCAATTTTTGATACCCTGTTCTGAAGTGAAGTGTATTCCAGTCAAAGCGTTCTGCATCGATCGAAACAAATGATAGTCGGAAGGGGCAAGGTCTGGGCTATAAGGCGGGTGAGCCAGAACTTCCCATCCGCTATTTTCCAAATAGTTTTTAACCGGAACAGCAACATGAGGCCGAGCGTTGTCATGGTGAAAGATTATGGATTCGTGTCTGGTCGCATATTCTGGACGTTTTTCGGCTATAGCT